TATAAATATTCGGTCAAAAAAAAAAGGCAACAATGTGTTGGGATCTTGGAGGAGTCGAACCAATGACCTACAACATTACAATTTGCAAATCCACCCAATTGAGCTACTATGTTTATGTTATGTTAAGACAAATATAAATATATAAACACTTAGTAAAAAAAAAAAAAAAACTAGACTACATGTTGGAGCATTCGTGGAATCGAACCAGGGACCTTGCAGCTCAATTTGCAACACCATCCAATTGAGCTACTACTTTTATGTTACTTTTATGGCAAATATAAATATATAAACATTCCGTAAAAAAAAAAAATCAGTTTTTTTTTCTACCTATTTTACGTTCTTCGTCTTTCTCACTTCCCAGAGTCACACGGTAATAGAGTGTAGACAGAGAGATGCACAGTGCAGTTCCTCGCCGATATAGACCGAAGAAAATCGTCTCAACAAAAAATCGAAGAAGATCCTTTCAACAAAGAGTTGAACAAGAATAACAAAGAATCAAACAAGATTGACACATAAGATCAGATGAAGAAGATGCTTTAGGGTTCGATTTACAGGTATGGTAGTAATTTTTATTTTTTATAGGGGTTTGCTGCCTCAGGGTTCATGTGATTTCTGCAATTTTCACATTGGGTGTTGAGTCTTTCAACAGGTAGTCTGGTAGTAGGTTTGCTTTATTTCCCATCCCATTTTTTTTTTTGGATTTTTGTTCATTTTTTAGAAAAATGAAGGAGTGTTGATAAGCTTTTGCAGAGGTGTGGGTCAGATTTGGAGATTTTTCTATTGTCGTGTTCAACTCGGAAGGATTCCGAGTCGAGTCGCCTGAGTTGAACTGAATTTTCACCGACACCTTTGATTTCGGCTGAGACGTCCGAGATATCGCCGATACAAGTTAAATTCATCAATCTTTCGACTCGTGTATCGTTATCGTATCGTCAATGGCCGAGTCGGATACGACTCGGCCGATACTTTGGACCCTGACTATATCACTAAAGCGAGAGAACCAGGCTCGTGGTGACTGTTTCAGTCCATAAAGAGACTTACGCAGTCGACGTACCTTTCCAGCATACTCTCCCTCACCACGAAAGCCCGGTGGTACATCCATATAAATAATCTCGTCCAAATCACTATGAAGAAATGCATTCTTCACATCTAACTGATGAAGAGGCTAAAAGTACTCCACAGTCAGAGAAATAATCAATTGAACAGTAGTTAATTTTGTCACAGGGGCAAAGGTAGTACCAAAATCACGACCTAGTGCCTGAGTAAAGCCCTTCGCCACAAGCCTAGCCTTGTGACGATCAATAGTACCATCCGCAAGATACTTCAAGGTGTAAACTCAGCGACAGCTAACAGGCTTCACCCCTGAAGGTAAAGAGATAAGATCCCACGTATGATTACGTTAAAGAGCGTCCATCTCTGTCTGTATGGCAAGAATCCACTAGGGATCCCGCATAGCCTCTGAAACAGAGCGAGGAACCGACGTATCTGATAAGGCCATACTATAAGCTTGAAATGTAGGAGACAGATCATCATAAGAAACATAAGTAGAGATCGGATATAAAGTCTTAGCAGTCCAATCATAACGAACAACTGGACGGTGATCACGTCACGGATAACGATGCTCTAAATCATATCCTCCACTAACAATGTCTCATCAAGTAAAGTAAGTGGCTCAGAACATGCAATCTCATCAGTATTAACAACAAGTGCATTAATATGCTCAACGAATTGAGAAATATTATCTGCATCGCCTGAGGTAAAGGGGACATTAGCAGGGGAATAAAAGCGAGGCCGACGAACATAAACTTGCAAAAGTAGAGAGACTAGTGACTCTGTACTGATTGGGATGTAACTCTGGAGGAGGAGAGATTGATGACTCTGTAGTGATAGTGACCAATAGTTCTGGCTCCTGTTGTAATGAAAAATCAAAGGGAGTATCATCAATTGGAGGGGCAGACACAAGACTGGAAGAAAAATAAGGAATATGTTCAAGAGGTAACATCTAGACTATGATACATACGTCGCCTGACAGGATCATAACACCGATACCCCTTAGACCGATGACAATAGCTCACAAAGATACAATGGATCACTTTATCATCAAGTTTATAGCGAGTAGGAGACCGATCCTGAACAAAACATGTGCAGTCAAAACACGAGGGGGTACCGAAAAAAGTGTCTGCTCAGGGAATAAGACCTAGAAAGGAGTCCTATGCTGAAGAACATAACTCGGTGTACGATTACACAAAAAGGTAGAAGTCAAAACAGTAAAATGTCAATAAGATTTCGGTACTCCCATACCTCTAAGCATACAACGTACCATTCCTATCAGACTCTTATTTTTTCTTTCAGCAACTCTATTTTGCTCAAGAGTATATGAACAAATGAGCTGCTGAAGGATATCCTGAGAAGAAAGGTGAGACACTAAGGCATCAGACACATATTCTTTAGCATTATCCGAACGAAGAGCACGAACAATAACATCGAATTATGTCTTAATAATCTGAAGAAATTGAGTGATGACAGGGAGTACATCAGATTTCTTATGCAAAAGGTAGACCCAAGTACAACGGGTATGGTCATCTATAAATGTCACATAATATCGAGCACCTGACAGAGTAGTAACAGGAGAGGGTCCCCAAATATCAGAGTGTATTAGGTCAAAATGGTTTGAGTGATTGATGCATGCGAGGAATATAACTGGTCCGAACATGTTTTGATAGAGAATATATCACATAGTCAAGTTTATCACTAACACAAGCTTTGCTCAAAGCAGGAAATAACATACATAAATATTTAAAATTTGTATGCCCAAAACAGTCATGTCACAACTGAACAGTTTGTGATAAAAAATCATAACGACAAGTACCAGGTAAAATATTAGCATGTAAGTTAGAAACAAATAAAGACAAGATGGAGGTGGAGGTGGAGAAACTGGTGAAATCGGAGGTGGATCGCCTAGATAATACAGTCCATCTCTCTGATATCCCTTGATAATAATCTTTCTGGTATTCAGGTCCTGCAAATAAGACGAATCAGATAAGAACACAACCGCACAGTGAAAATCTATGACTAACTGATGTACAGATAATAGATTTATGGCTAGCTTTGTCGCATAAAACACCGAACGTAATGTAAAGTCATCTGGGAGACGGACTGTACCCCTATTAACAATAGGGGCATGTGTACCATCTGCTAACTGAACTTAAGGATGTAACTGCTCGTCAAAAGAGGTGAAATGATGGGCCTCACCTGTCATATGACCATTCGCACCCAAGTCTAGCATTCAAAAAGGAGACGGGCTGGCTCAAGTATGAAAGGCATGAGGTATACCTGTAATAGTCGCAACAGTAGTAATCGAACCTTGAGAAGTTAGGGCTATCATAAGTATATCCAAGCAAGAAGTGATAGCATCCATATCACTCTGCCAAGGAGGAGGAGGAGCAGTAGTAGTAGGAGCAATGACTGTAGGTGGTGGTGTCTCAGCAATGGCAGTAGTATGGCTACAAGGAAGTGGTTTAAGCTCTGGATGAAGCTTCCAACAAGCAGCCCTGAGATGTCCTAGTTGACCACAATAATCACACTAACGAGAATCTCCATGTTTACGCTAATGTGGGGTACCTTGACGGCGTTGAGCCGAGCACTGTCGATCCCTATACCAAGTGGAAGTACTAACAGATGTCTCAACGGTAGGGGTCTCAACTCCCTCAGTAGTAGTCATATCATCAATTATACTAGGACACCTGTGACAGAAAAACAACTTTAAGATAAATAGAGGGACAAAATAAGGAAAAACAATATACCTCCAGTCGAACTGTAGCGACAGATAAAAAAGGTTCAAAAAACTCCCAAATAATCAGGTCACGGTGCCCAGAAATTCAATAAATATAAATAAATGATTTACTTCATCAAGAGCAGATTCACGGAGAAGAGGATTCAACCCTTCTTAAAAAAGTCCTATATATTGCAACCTGGCAGCACTATGGTGAAGAATGCGAAGGACAAAGCCACAACGAAAAACACGAACCGACAGTGGGCTGGACAGTGACCCAGCAGTGGGCTGGTCTGGGTTTATTGGGTTGGTCTAGGTTTTTTTTTTTTTAATTATTATAGCAGTGGTTGCTGTTGTTTACAGACTTGGGTGTGTTGGTGGATGGGCAGTGTATTGGGTTTGGGCTGTTGGAGCAATAGACTGAGTTGTGGCTGTCGGTGATGGTTGGGCAGATATTGGCTGTTGTTGGAGTATATGGCTGTCAGTGGGTTGGTCTGGGCAGAAGGGAGGCTGATTAAAGGTGAAGATGGGTTTTGAGTTTGCTTGAGGTTCTTTGTCAGTGGGTGGTTTCGCTGCAACTGCAGTTGGACAAGGTGTGGATTGAGGTTGTTTGTCGGCTGGTCTGAGCAGTCGGTGAGGGTAGTCGATGGTTTGGTTCGGTGCTGGCCTGAGTGGTTTGGTTCGGTGATGGCCTGGGTGGTTTCGCTGGGCAGTTTGCTGGCAGACGGTAGATGAGCAGTATGCTGGAAGTAGGTGGGTGGTTTGCTGGCAGTCTGGGTCGTTGTTTGCTGGGTGCTGTTTGGAGTTGTGGCTGATGAGTATGGTGGAGGTTAGGGTTAGGGTTTGGGTTTGAGTTTGAGTTTGAGTTTGGCTCTAATACCAACTTGAACTAGTTGTGCGTGAAAAGGGATACTCAAATTAAGAGTAGAGCCCCGTATATATAACCAAATAATATTACAAAGTGACTTAAACATCCTTCTAGTCTAAGAAAAATATAAAAGTCATAATAAGGGTAAATAGAGAAAAAGAACCCTAATAAACTAGGCCTAATAAACTACGCTGCTATAACTCCAACAAATACCATCTCTAGGTTGCTGAATAAGTGCAAGTTTCTTGACTTTTTGGTGGTTGGGTGTGAAGAATTGTGTTGCTTAGTATTTCAGCATGCATTCTACTCAGAAATACAGTAGGAGTTTCAACCACTGATTGACATGCAGATCATCCATGGATGAGAGAAGATGGTGAGGCATCTGATAAACCTCTCGACATTGCTGTGTTAAGTAGATTGAAACAGTTCCGGGCGATGAACAAACTCAAGAAATTGGCTCTGAAGGTGAAAGTATCTTTTGTTACTGTTTCTGGCGAATAAAAACTCTGGGAGTTTTATTTGGAATTGTTTCTTGTGCTAGGTAATTGCAGAAAACCTTTCCGAAGAAGAAATCATTGGATTGAAGGAGCTTTTCAAAAATATGGACACAGATAACAGTGGAACAATAACATTTGAAGAGCTGAAAGCCGGTCTTACAAAACTGGGTACCAAGCTTTCCGAGTCAGAAGCGAGGCAGTTGATGGAAGCGGTATTGTTTCTATCTCTCTCATTTCCGTTTTTGTCTCTGTCTGGGCTATTGTAGTGCTCTTTGATTCATTAGTCTATCTCCCACATGCGTATGTCGAATGTTATGCTGGTCCCAAGCTCGTCATCCTTTTGGAGCCTTGTTCGTGATTAGGTAGCCTGTAGCCTAGAAAATTCAACTACCTAATTGGATGAGTTCTAGCCAGAGGCACTCAATGCTCTAGAAGCTTCTGATATAAGCATATATACTAGAAATCAAGTTGAACATTTAGTTAGATATTCATTACCATCACAATCATACTAAGCTTGCGAGCTTCAACTGGTTATGATATACTTCCGAAGTACTTGTGGGCCACTACAGATATGCTTATGCCATTGAGCTCGGTCTAGGTTCATACCTTCTGCTTATATACCAATCATACCGTTATGGTTTCCTTATTTGATTTTCTTTTTAGCCTAACTACTTCTTTTGCACCTTCAACTTGAACTAAATTTCTAGTCTCTATACCAAACCACATGGCTGAGTCATTTTAACAATCATTCTCTTAGCTTTATCTTATGTGGTTCTGCCCATTTCAACAATCATTCTATTAATTTTATCTTACATAGTTCTGCCCCGGGTGTGACAATCATTTTGGACATTATGTTCGATTGCGCATAAGTTGAATTTTATTAGTTGTAGCTTTTCTGTTACATACCTCCTAATTAATTAAATAAGCATTGTTGTTTTCAAATTTAAGGTATTATGGCTAGTTCTGGTTATACAATTGATTCTTATGCTAGCTGCCATCTCATTTCATGATCTGTTCTAGGGTAACTAAAATATCAAGATCGGTTGCTCTTTCAGGCAGACGTGGATGGAAATGGAACAATTGATTATATTGAGTTTATAACAGCTACAATGCACATGAATCGAATGGAAAGAGAAGACCACTTGTACAGAGCCTTTGAATATTTCGACAAGGACAAGAGCGGGTGGCCTCCTTATTATGTTCTATTGTGTCATTTTATATTAACATATTTGATCGAGTCATGCAGAAATTATGTTACTTACTTTCTGCTGTTTTTGGTTTTTGCCTCTAAATGTAGGCACATCACTATGGACGAATTAGAGCATGCCCTGAAGAATTATAATATGGGTGATGAGAAAACAATAAAGGAGATCATTGCAGAAGTCGACACAGACAACGTATGTTTTCTATCTCCTTAGAAACACAATATGCTTGTACATAATCTATCTCTCTATTCAATGTGATTTTCGGAAGATAATGTTTACTCATGAATGAAAATGGCTCCCTTTGAGGCTTATACTCCATGCATGGATTAGAGGTTGGTCTTGCTGACAATTTAGTTATCCAAGTAGGCCGACGCATCATAAATTTGAACCAAATGTGTATAAGGCCTTGAATGATTGACTTCCTTAAGGTAAATGTATATTTTAAAGGCTGGAATGTCTGTTGGAACAAGTACACAATGGGCATTGATTGTTCTTCTGTTATTGCCCTGTTTCTTCCCCTTTTTCTTTCTTTCTTTCTTTCTCCCGCAAGTAAAATAAAGTACATAGCAGCTAATAACAATTTCCTTTTGGTTTATTGTCTCTGAAGCCTTAGAAATAGAAACCTCTCTGGGAACATGACACTAAAGGGAAAAAAGTTGGAATGTGTGAAAGCTTGTCATGAAGTCAAATCTGTCTATGTATGATTAAACACATGGTCGCTGTTTTGATGAGTAAAAAATGGAAATTATGAACAATAAGAATTTAACTCGTCAAGTTTTTTTCAGTAGAACACAACCAAGATGCGAAAAGAAATTGGAAACATTTGGCAACTTGACATGATAAATCCAACCAATCTATGATGTCAGGTTTATGTATGGATAGTTTGTGTAGACCTCAAAGATAGTCATTTCCTCAATACTAGAGTTTTATAAAATAATGGTGTCAATGCACACACAAAGTACCTGGCATTCCAGTATAAGGAACTGATCAACTTTAGTTTCATTTGTAAGAGTTATTTTCCTTGGAAATATCATGAGTTCCCTCTCATTTCATGTTTTTCATTAGTTCAATGCCCAAAAGGCACCATACTTTTTATGTTTTTAAGTGTCATCAAACAAAAATTAGTACACCTTGCTTCCTCATTTTGTATTTGTCTGCTAACAAATGAAGTCTTTGTGCCGTGACTTATGTTGAATAATGTATATCAAAATCCTCTTGCAGGATGGAAGAATTAACTACGATGAGTTTGTGGCCATGATGAGGAAAGGCAACCCAGAGTTGGTAACAAATAGATGCCGCAAATAGCATTAAAAATAGGATTCCTGGTGATTTGCTTTGTTGCTCCATTTTGCTGATGACTCCAACTGGCTTTTTCGTTTAACTGGTTGTATCACGTCTTTGTACCTGAGTTGGCAATCCATTCTGAGTTTAACTACCGGGAATCACTGGACAGTTCGTGCCTTTTGGAGAAGTTTGTGTGTTTGTGCATGAGTTACCTTAACAAAAAGACAAGTATGCTAGATTTCCAGCAGTTTGCTTCAGTGATTATGTATTTACGGGTGAGATGCAGGGTGATGCATTGAATTCGAATTGTGTTGTCTTACCTGTTTCTAAGTTGGCCCATGTCTCAAACTGTACAATATAAGTTGTCAATGCAGACTTAGGATAAAAGGCTTTCTTTAGTTGAGTTAGGTTGAATTTTTCCGCAATGGGGTCCCTCATGTGCTCCAGGTTGTGCTAATTTGTCAATATCTGTTTGGTCAATCAAGGATTTTTAATTAATTATTAATCTATTGGAGCATGAACGGGTTGTTGAGACTCCAAGATCCAGTGCTGTACAAAATCCTATCTATCGGTTGAGTTTAGCATTGTACACATGTTAATGTAAAATATCTGACCATTTTTGAAGATATGGAGAGTAGACTGTGTGGCTCCATTAAATGCATAGCTTATTTGAAGAGTTTTCGATTGCTTTGATGTTTAAATGATCATCTCCCAAATGGGATTTAAAGGATCAAGTAGAATGCCACATTCTTTTCATACATATTCATGGGAGGTGTTCCATGCTTTTTGGCCTCTATAATTTCATTACCAGGGCTGATCTATGTTATTGGAATTAGCTATGTTGCCAGGCAATGTATTGCAGAAAAATGTCATACGACAGCTACCTGACCTGAAAATATGGGGATAAGGTTCGACAGAGTGGAGTAGAGTATGTCATAAACCAATGGAAGGATGCTCTTATAGTCATTTGTACAGTTAATGTATGTTTATACATGTTTTTTGCCAATGATTATGCACAAGAATTCCATTGTGGATGGTTGCCCCAGGAAATAAACCAGAACCAGAATCAGCATACTTTGACACACTTGCCTTCTCTGGAACTCCAAAGAATTGTGTAGCAACCATACATTATAAATGCGCTGAAGCCAATGAACACGCCGATGGACGTATAGGCAAGCACACGACGCTTCCACCTTGTAACTGAGCGTGGTTTTGGCCCAACAATCTCTCTGCCTTGTTGATTAAAAGGGGTTCCAGGCAATACTTGATTGACTTGATCTCGTCATTCTGTATGAACTCGTAAGTGCCAGGTCAGCCAAGCATTGATCAAGGTCCTCTCTGGACTCGGAGAACTTTGGAGATGACACCGATGAAGGCAAACAAGTTCACGAGGGCGGCGAGAAGAGAGAGGACGAACCGAATCAACCAGTTGTGGCAGTTGAGAGATGAGGCTGTGGAGGTTGATGTAAGGATCACTCCTTGGAACACAAAATATAAGTTCACAAGCTGGATGGCTTTTGTTTCCGGGTTTCGAACTCTCCCTTCTTGCTTCTTGTTCGTTTCATCTAGTTTGTCTATCTCTTTCTGGATTGGATCCTCGGGAACATTATGCACTGGAGATTGATTCGTGGATGCTCTCTCTCTCTCTCTCTCTCTAATATTATTCTGGAGTTAAGAAATCAATTACATAGGACTGGAATTAAGGATATAACGGTATATGTCTGGAAGTTGGAACATAGTTGCCTGACAATTTGTTTGTTGTTTGACCTTTGTATGGTTTAAAGGGCCTATTTTGATTAATAACCAAAGGCCAAGAAAGTTTCCGAACTCTTAGACAGAGTATAAAAGAGGAGCATAGGTATTTGTAGACACCTCAGCGAACTCACGTCCTCAGCCCAGGGCAATCGGACAATCTCTCAAATACACATGTTGATGTTGACCCATTTTTCTTTTCTTTGTTGAATGTCCCTTTCTGTACAATTTTGAATTTTCTGTTCTTTGAGGAGGGAGAAAGTTGCATTTAAACACCAAGTTGGGTGGTAGAGCTTTGATTTTAATATGTTCACTTAAGAGACCATGTATATATTGGAGTTTATGAATTGTTTTCGCAGACTATCGTTCCAATTTGGTCTGTTTGGTATCACCCTTAAAGGGCATTACTCTATTGGAATGTTTGGCAGGGATTAAAAGTGGATGGGTGAAAAATGGGAAAGAAGATAGAAGGAAAATAAAACGTGTGAAGAAAAAAAAATCCATCCCGCCCACCAAATTATTTAACCCTTAACGGTGTGTTTGGCAAAGCGGATAAAGTGGGATAACCCCTAGTTGGATAGGGTTAAATAATCCGGTGGCCCACAAATCCCAGGTTTGGATCCAATTTTGTCAATGGGATATTCGTTGGGCTGATTTCCTCGGCCGTAGCTTTTTCTGTCCTTTATCCCATCTGACCCACTTTCATATATCCCATGGTAACTTTGGGATTACTTAGCCCAGTTACCGGATTGGGCTGCCATTTACTAAAATACCCTTATACAATAGCAAGTGTAGGGTTTTTACCCCTCTCTTTTTTGTCTTCGTTTGAACTTATCATTGGTCATTCCTTCCCGCAAGTGGCGCCCACTGGTCCCCATTGGAAGGTATATCTCTCTCTCTCTCTCTCTCTCTATATATATATATATATATATATATATATCGTCTCGTCATTCTCTCCCTCTGTATAGCTGTGTATATATATATACCTACATCATCTTCTGTTTTCTCCCTCCAAAATTGCAAATCAATGCAAAATAAAATCTAATATACACTAAACCAAACTAAATCTACACAAAATCAGTACCATAGCCTCCTTCAACTTTATTTTATTTGGGACTTACAAGGGTCCTGTAAGAATGCGAAATCCCAAAGGAATTGTGCGATCAACTTGCTTTGTTGGTCAAGATAAAGAAGAAAAAATCTTTGGGGAGGCACCATGCCTTGTACGTCCTTTTGTGGTCCTCTTTAATTGGGTGTCTTCTTGCGAGAGCCTAGGTTGCAAGGTTTCCTTAAGGCTGCCTCCCCCTTTTTATTGTCTACAAGAATCCTTACTGGTGAATCTTGATTATCTTATTTTTAAAATTTAATTGTATAATTCCGCTCTAATTTGTTAATATAATTTATTCACATAATCTATTAATACTATTGGATTGGTTATGGATCTTAAAATATATTGGGATCTATTGTCAATTCAATTCATTGCTGGAATTTGGTTCCTTATATTTGGATTATGCTTGTTATGCATTTGCCTCCGTCACTGGTGCTGGAGTTTGTGAACTCTCTGTTTCTTCTGGTGTCATGCTCTGTTTGGAGTTTGGCATTATGGGTGCATTGTCTTTATGGTGGCTATGTTGCTGGTTGGTGCTTCATGTTGGTGCCGTTGTTTGGTGCTTCATCTTGCTATACTTATTTCGTTGCACAGTATTTTCTTTTTGTTCCTTTTGGATTGTTTTTTTTACCATGTAATCTTTTGTATGGGGATGGGGATCTTATTTTTCTTGTTTTAAGAAGATCAATCATTCATTTTTGGTTACACTTGTGTACATGTTGCCTTTTGTTCCAAGATATTTGGTGAATATGTTCAAGAGAGTCGTAAGCAACTTGACAATATTGCACATCGAGTTGGGTACATGCATAATGATGTAGATGCAAGAAGAAGACTGAATGCGGAACTTGAGAAGATCATTGGTTTGCCTATGGTTGATCGTCATGCGGCTCTTTTTAAATTTGTTCTAACCCAGTAAAATTTGACATTTTTTTTAGTTTGTCGGATTATGAGCGACCTGCGTGGGTTGGCGGCCTGTTGTGGCAGCCACCACAACTTTGATAAAATTATTTGTTTTTATCGTTCAACTAGGCTACCACCTAAAATCTTTTTTTGCTAAGAATGTGTGGGGGATTTTTGTGAAGGTGAATGTAACAAATGGTGTGGAGGTAGTTCAAGTACATTAATAGTTCTATTTTGTTGGTATGTTTTTGGTGTGCATGGACTATTCAGTTCATATATGGACTATTTGGTTCGAGTATGTGTATGTTTTTGATAAGACTAATTTATGTAAATATATATTAAATGATACGTTGTTAATATGGTCAACTATGCATTTGAGTGGAATAATGTTCCAACCTTATTATGAGTAACAACAGGTTGCATTTTTTTTGTACGTAGATACGAACAAGAAGCAACGTTGATATGTAGTATTTATTGGACGACTGGTTGATATTTACGAGTGATGGGTGGAATGTCATGCGCATGTGAACAGGTATCCAAGTGCATTATACAAATCTTATGATTCGTATACAGAAGCAGAAACAACATTGGCATTGCACAATGCACGGCATGAAGTTGATGTACCCAATGCGATGACTTTTCATCCCCCTGCACCTATGGACAATGTCGCTGACGATAGTGTTGTCAACAACGATGAAGCACATGTTCGTGCAGTTGGAACAAACGCATATACCCGTGATCTAATTTGGTGCATGATAAGTGTAGTCATGCTTATTGTGGGTATTGTGTTCACCCATATTGTGTACTCTCAAATTGGTTATCGTGAGTTTGTTTAAGTGGTTACCATAACAACAAACATATTTTTTAATGATTAGACATTATGTAATGACTTGTGTACATGTTCTATGTAAACCTTAGTATCTTACGCATTTTGGTCAACTATATTTGCATAGTAATAAGTTGATTTTGTTCGTACGATTAACTGTTAAATATATATAACTGTGAATGAGTATACAATGTATGCATGTGATTCGTTTACTGTTGACTATAAAGCTTATTTTATGTATGGTTGAACCCAAATTAATATGTAAATTATATGTTGTAGTTGACAATGAAGATCCCAAAGATTTCTGAGGATGAAATAGACGTCATTATCGACACATTATTAGAATTCAAGAATAAAGGAAAGTTACTTCCTGTGGGCCGTTACACGCATAATATGATGGATGATTTATTGCGCATCATTAAACGACATTGTAGAGGGTTTACATTGTCGTTTATTGAACTTATTCACATCATTTCCTATTGGGAAAGACAATTCTTCACTATTACGGTAATGCTTGATTCTGACAATTTTACCTGAGACCCTTTGAAGAAGTCTGTTATAATAGGGCTAGGAAGAGGACCTGTTGAGTATTTGGAGGTAAGTTACGTCATTCTTAGAATTTTCTTTAAATTGTTGTTAATTATGAAAGGATGTTTCATATATATATATATATATATATATTTATTTTTTTTTTATAATTTTTTTTTTGCGGCCATTAACACATACTTTCATATTATTAATTGTAGGAGGATGATTTTGCTTCGCAACATTGTTTTCAACCTTGCCCGAATTTTGAATATTTCGGTGTTATATTTAAAAAAGATGAAGCAAGCTCAAGTCACCCTCCTAGTGACAGTGTTGGGAGTTCATCGTTAGTGAACTCTCACTTTGACGGTGATATCATTATGATCGATGATTGAATGTTGGGTACGATCGGTCAAGTTGTCTGTTATAATGGTAACTTATAATATTTGTATATATTATAATGTATATGTGCATGTAGCAGTTGGGTAAGTATGTTTACCCATTTTTTTGTATGCAACACACATTAGCGTGTGTGCATATAGCTTCACGCTTTCGTACCTCCTTATGTTGCCTTCATTTTGTATGTATACTTGAAGGCAACAAAGAATATAAACATATCGGGTACGTGTAATTACGTAGTACGCTGCCTTTCTTTTGCTTCGTCTTTTGTAAAAGACTACGTCTGGTAATGAAATATGTTTAAGTGTTTATCGATTTGTATTTATCGATTCGTGTATATCGGTTATTTTTTTTTATCTTTTTTAATTTTTATAACAATGTGGGACAATTTTATGAGCAAATTAATTAGATCAAAATTTTTTTGTATTGCAAACATTAAAACCAAATTATTTTTGATTTGTACACTTGGTAACATACATGAAAATTGGAGTGAAGTTTAAAGGTGGACAAAATTAAAAATGTTGGCTCATCCAACAATGACTTTAGATTGGATAGGAGTGAAGGGTAAAATTATAATTTAATGTAAATGGTAAGATAATTTACAAAAAAAATAATGGTTTATCCGTGGGCCCCATAATATAGAAAAATACTTTCCAAAAAAAGGATTGAATTACACAACTTTATTAGTACCCTTTCTATATCCCCGAACTTGGGTTTTCATTGGACTAGTTTGGATTAAAAAACTAAACCAATCCTATCCCCACAAACTTGCCAAACACACACTAAAAGTGGGACAAAGAGATGGAAATGATGAAATTTGATAATTTACTCCGTGGAGCTTATGACTCATGTTATATAATTCACACTTTTATGAACATATTTATGGTATTTAAGGAGCAACAATTTTCTTAAAATTTTTCTTACTTATATCGAATAAAATAATAAAAAATACATTCCCTTTTTCGGTCTTTCTACCAAATAAAATAGAGAAAAAAATATTTTTTTTTCTTTGAGAATGAAAATGTATTTTTTTTTTTCCTTCGGGAGAATTATACTCAGATCTCCCAAAATTGGTCACTTAATCACTCAAACTCTCTGATATTTAAAATATTACACACAGATCCCCTGAGATTTAAGTGATCTTTGAGTGATTAAATGACAAACTTCAAAGGGTCTGAGTGTAATTCTTCTGCTTTTTTCTTATTCGGTCTACAAAAAAATCATATGAAGAATTATATGTTTATATTTTTATAAACTCAAATATTTTGAATTCAAATTTTGGAAACTTTTAAAATCAAGTTACGAGGAACTTTTTTTATAAATATTTTAATCTCAACGTAGATCATATATGTTAAACTAGATTAAAGAGGGGATTAATCGAGCCATATATAAATTGGTCTGTACGCTCCTGACAATTAAAAAAATATATATATTTTTATTTCCCACCAAGAAAGTATTTCATTTTGTAGCAAGTCATAACAATTCCCATTCAATTTTCCCTCACCTAGGGTAGGGGTGTTCATGGGTTGGGTCGAACTGGGTAGTGTAGACCCAAGACCTTATCCAAGTGTTTTGTCGGGCTAGCCGGATCGGGGTAGGATATCCGCAGTCTAACTTGTGAGTCTATTAGGCGGGCCTGTTCGCGGACTTTTTTTATATACATCTTCATTTAAAAATAATAAATATTTTTTGTAACTTAATATTTGTGTAAATTATATTTTTAAATCAAAAGTAAAGTCAAAATGGATAAAATAAAATAATAAATAATTTATTTTTTATTAGAGGATGAACTACATTCAATAGAGTGAATAAATTTCAACTAGGTTGACACCTACTAACTTATCTATCATTTGTATTATTTTATTCTTTAAAACTTGTATATTTAATGCATGAAAAAGAAAATAATATATTATTTATAATATTTAAATTTTTAAAATTTCAAATTATGTTATTGAGAGAATTATTTCAAAGTTTTAAATTTAATATTTTAAAATTATAATTTTTTTCAAAGAAATGGTGGGCAGGCCGGACTTCAAGACAAATAATGAATTTGGGGCAAATTCAAGTCTTTTTTTTTAATGATAGCCTATTTTTTTTTTTGACTCTGATAACAGAATCCATGATCAACCGGGCCCGTAGACACCCTAAACTGCGGGGAAAACGAATTCCAATTTTCCGAGTAATTTCCACCATTTTTTCCCGGAACCCGTGGAAACTCTGCTAATTTGGAAATCCAATAGAAACAGAGTCTCTCGCTCTCTCTCTCTTTCTCTCGTGTCCACTGTCAAACGGCATATACTAGTACTAGGGCTTGGAGCTTCTAATTTGGTTGGATACGAAGGTGAAAATGCACAAATCTCTTGTGCACAATCACTCCTTCGATACCTAAAGCTAGGGCTATTCATCACCAGACACTCGCCACTCTCATGCTGAGCTCTAATTTCACCCACCCTCTCCCCCAAAGCCCTCTCCTTCTATCTTCCTTCTCTTGGTTCAGGGTTTCAAACCCTGCCCACATAACCCTTTCTTCCCAAAATCGAAGTTTGCGGATCTCTGAAGCTCAAGTCAGGCCTTTGAAAAAGGTAATTAACAATAGAATCCAATCTTCTCGCATTTGTATGTGCTGATATATGGATTCAGATATATGTTTATTAATATGTTGGAGATAAAAACTATCGTTTTATGTCAATTGAATGTGCTTCAGGTTAGTGATTGCATTTTTTGGAGTTTGCTTTACTTAATATGTGTTGTGCAATAACAATGGAGTTATGCGTTTGTCTACATATGTGGCAGAGTTTATGTGGGTATATTTGCGTCTGATGGGAATTTCAATGGGTTTCTGTTGCAGAAGTGGCAAATTTCATGTTTTAGGCATGAAGAATTTCCGTCAGGGAGTTCAGAGGCGGAGCCCGAGCCCGAATTTGTTGAGGAGATTCTTCATGAAGAGTTAAGGAAGTCTGAAATTGACAAACCAAGTGTCGCTAAAAGAGATTGGATTTCAATTCTAGTAGAGGTGAGGACATTGCTTTATTGTGTTGTTTGGTACATTGTGGGAACTGGTTTTGGGTGTTTTATACATGAAGGATGCCAAATCGGCAGTTTCTTGCATATATCAATTAATGTCGTAGCTAAGAAGGACGGATACAAATATAGATATTGAATACTGTACAGTGTGTTACTAATACGGCAAAACTTTAAAAAATTAGGATACGAATATGCCCATAATAAGTCTATAATAAAACATATTATATATTTTTGTTACCATCTAACAACTCTTGATAATTATAATTTCTAATAAGTTCTTTAACAATAATACAAAAAATTAGTAATTTTTACTCTCAAAAAAGTATTGATCGTCTCATTATGGTATATCTATAAAGTGAATCTAAGTAATTAAAGAAATTATACCAAGATTTAACTAGTTGGTTTGGTTAAAAATTCCTATTGCCACAATATATGGTATCATTAACTCATTTTATGCTCGTTTGACATAATAGTAGATAATACTGAAATAATACACGTGTAACCCAAGTCGTATGAATTTTTCTTTATATGTTGCATTATATGTAAATTCGAGAGGAAAAAACAAAGAGTGAAATTAAAAATTATGCATATTGTTATGTGTACGCATGTTAATATCCCAAGCATATGCATTGTAGATACCTATTGGCAAAATGTACAAATATTGGTTGTATTGGATTGATATTTCTAAAATGGTACTGTTTTGACTAGTCAGTGGACAGTTTTGCAGTTGAGTCATAGTTGCTTTTCGTTAATTTGCTCTCTGAATGGTTTTACTCCAAGTCGGAGTGTTGGTACAATTTGGGAACCCGGTGTTTTCTGTAGCAAAAGGTTTTGTTTTCACCAGTCAACAATGAGACTGACTTTTATGGTAAAATGTGTCAAGGAGTTCACTGATTGGCTACATATTGTTTCAGGCTGTTGATGTAGTGCTTAGACTGATTGGAAAACCATGGACTGTACCGTGGACGGCAGAAACCATTCTGCAGGTAAGTGCTTTCCTATATGATTCTTTGTTGATGAGGAATTCAGGTGTATGCAACTAGACAATAAGATTCAGTTATGCTAGTTGCTATGGCAAATGGTTTCCTCAATCTTTTTTGAGTGGTAAGGCGTTAAAGGGTATGCATTTAGACACTAAGGTCCCACCATATTAGTTATATTAGTTACTATCATAGGCAAGGTACCAGGGAGCTGGCAGATATGTTTCTGCCTTTAGTAGTCACTGGATGCTGGATGTCGTTGAAGAAGAAAATTTCCCAAGATATCTAGTGACATGAAATTATCTTATTTGACAATGTGACCAGTAAAACATTTTATTTGATTAATCTACCAGATGTTCCAAATTATTCACTCACTTCAGATCATTGTGCATGGTTCTTCCTCTTGCTGAATAAGAATGCCATAGCTTCTTTAGTTCTGAACTCTTAAACTGAACTGTGAGGTATGCTTGCTTCTCAATTAGCATAGGTATGTGTAAAGGAATAAAATAATCGCGGTGATGCAGGTTATACTCCTTTGGATTGTCTCATTCTGGTTTGTGGGCTCTTGGATGATTCCATTTGGAGCCCACATGGCAGGTTTCAGCAAGGAATCCCTAAACTATAGAGGGCAGGCCTTTTTCAGCCTTTTGACTGATGTGACCGAAGGCCTTGCTGGAATTGCTATCCTTCATCGCTGTTTGTCTCAGTTTCGCCCCCTTCCATCTGATTGGTTTAAATTTAGTCTGCGAGGTAACTGGCTGTTTGATGTTGTTGTGGGATGCTTCATGTTTCCGTTGGTCAATCGGCTGTCACAGTTCAACCTTAACCTATTACCTGTTCTGCCTTCTACTCCTGTTACTCTATCAAGTGTCGAGGCATCAATTGTTGCACGGGATCCTGTGGCAATGGCACTGTATGCTTTGGTACTTGTAGTGTGCGCTCCTGTGTGGGAGGAGATTGTCTTTCGGGGCTTCCTTCTCCCCTCCTTGACCAAGTACATGCCTGTTTGGTGCTCAATACTAGTGAGTTCAGTTGCCTTTGCTCTAGCACATTTTAATGTACAGAGGATGTTACCGCTTATTTTTCTTGGGGTCGTGATGGGTGCAATTTATACACGGTCAAGGAACTTGCTGCCATCCATGCTCTTGCATAGTCTATGGAATGGCTTTGTATTCTTGGATTTGATGAAATAAAATTATTGCCTGTAAGTTCACCTATTAATCAGTTATGTGTTCGTCTCCATATGGAACACAGAATCTGGCAGATTTTGTGGGCCGTGCTCTTTGAAGGGTACTTCTCATGCTGTATACCAGCATTTCATGAATCGATCTACTGATTCTACTTTGTAGTTCTTTAATTCCTTGAAGGAATGAAGACAGTATCTATATTGTGGCCCAAAGAGTTCTTTCATGCTAGTGTTTTGATACTTCCTCTGGACTTTGATGGATATCACGTCAGGTGTGTTTGCATTGGGTAAATTACACTTTATCCCTTTGAACTATTATTCTCGTTTCACTTTATCCCTTTGAAATTTTATAGTTTTTTTTTTCCTGATAAAAAAAAACTATAAAATTTCTTACATTGCACCATATCACTCCAATTGATAATGAATGTTAATGTTTTGGCGGTAAATGAGTGTGAGTGACATGTACTGTCAATAAGCAACTGCTTATTGCACACATGCATGTCAAAAATCAAGAAAAATACCTAGACTTTGTCCTTCTAAATTCTAAATTTTTTTTCTCTAGCCGACCTTTTTTTTCTATTTAACAATCATTTGATTGCAAAAAAGATAAAATAAAGTGGTATTAGGCATTTGGCGGGAAGCTCTTTAGGGTTTTCTTTCCTCTTTTAAAAGATTTTTAAGTTTGTCGTAATTTATTGGAGTGATATGAAACAAAGTTGATATTTTAGGCTGTAATGTAAAAAAATTTATCGTTAAGGGTGTAAAATAAAACAAGAGTAATAATTTAGGAGGATAAAGTATAATTTACTCATTTACATTAGCTATTGAATGGAGAGGAGAAGCGGATACAAAAATTAAATATGGACTTAACTGAGCTAAGTTATATTAAAAAAATTTATTTCACTCTAAATTCATGTTTTTAGAAAAAAAGACTATTTATTAATCCATTATTATGTCACACTCTTCCTTATTTTCTCTCTATTTAGCTATATCTCTCTCTTTTTTTCTCTCATATTGATAATATTTCTTTATCAAATATGTAAAGATTTAATTTAATTTTTTCATTCCCTTTCTCCTATTTTTTCCTCTCTCATATTTCTTCCCCCTATTTTTTTTCACCGTTATTTTTTCTCTCTTTATATCAACGTTATAACAACACAATTATATCAATTAGTTACAGTTATCTTATAATACATCAAATAATTATTCATATATTTTAATAAACTAAATAATTACACGAAATTACAACATCAACTCAATTTGTTATTCAATTGTTTACATAAATCAAAGAGTTATACCATTTAGTATCACGAAATGGTTACACCAATTATATACATTAAATTGAGTTTATCATTATATAAAAGACTTTACCCTTGTACCAAATTTGGTGTATATAATTAGTATAATTATATCGTGATATTAAATGGTGTAACTTTTTGATTTATGTAAATAATTGAATGATAAATTGAGTTGGTGTCATAATTTTGATATGATTGTTTGGTATAACTGTTTGATTTATTAGAACAAATGAGTAAATGTTTGGTGTATTATAAGACAATTATAACTGATTGGTGTAACTAATTAGTGTTATTGTAATGTTGATATATAGAGAGAGAGAAAATAAGGGGAGAGTGTAACGGTCGGAAAAAATAAGGGCAGGGAGTGAGAGATAGAAAATAGGCAAGAGATATGGAGAGAAAAGGGGAGAGAGAGAGAGATAGAGAGAATAAAAATCATGCATAATTTAAGGAAAAGTAAGTAAAAAAATTTAAATGTCATTTAAATTTTGAATCTAATCTGTTTTATTAAAATTGAACTTAATAGAGTAAAATACTTATTCATACACTTCATCTCAAATAAGTGTAGAAATGTATCCACACCTAAAAAACTCTTGAATAAAAGACTATTGTTGGTATCATACAAAAAACTGACTCAATGGGCCGAGTAACGACTTTAATAGGTCAATGTGGTCACTCGATGGTGTTCAACTAAATTGAGATGGCCGTCAATTTTAGGATACAAACGTTTTAAGATTGATTTCAACTTTATATTTTTTAACTTTATTGAATTATAAATTTGACATGATTGAATTGTAACTTAGTTTTGAACTGTAATTTTTTTCATTCGACAATGGCACCAGACACGACTATGCCAACGCGACGGTGGCTCCATACCCTTAACGAAGGATATGAAAGACAAACAAAACGAACCGTGACATCAAAAAGTCATCCCTTCAGCATTGGTACGGTAGACTTCCCTTTTATTGAAACAATTTATCCTGATAAAAGTTAAAAAGTCTTGTTTAAAATGAAGGCTTGCAATATTTGCTGAAGCTTTGGTTTTCAAATGTGAAAGACCTCATATTTTCATAGAAATTTCCTTACAAGAAGAAGAAGAACGTTAGGATCCAGTAGTAAGTTTATAATAGTGTGACCTTCCTTGGGTGGCCTTTAATCAAACTTTGTTATTGTTTCTGAAGTTGTACCAAGTCCGGTTACATTGATTGGAACCAGTCCTACCTATCATCATGCATTGCTGGAAGTTTGAAGAAAACGGCTTCACCCATTTGAGTTACTCTGGAGTGATCTACTAATAATACTTTTGTTACTTTTGAATTGAATTGAATATTCAGCAACTAATTTGTCACTTCAACTTTGAATGTAAATTTTATATTCATTCCTAATTCGTTTTAATTTATTTAGGGTGCATTTAGTAATAGATTGTTTTCGTTTTTTTTGTTTTTGTTTTCAGTTTCTGTCAAATAAAAATATGTTTGGTGAATGTTTTTTTTTTTTTTTGTTGCTTTATTTTGAAAACAAGGACAAAAAATCTAAACATCCAAAATGATATTTTTGAAAACATCCAAAAACTGAAACACGTGGAGCTCCCGGTCCTCATTTAATAAGATCTCCACTTTGAATCCTCTTAACTGCAAAATATGCATTCTTTTTCCTTATTATATAAAAGCCCATGTGTAACAAGTTTAATGCCTCCATCTGCATCGTCTATCTGAGATCTCCTAGCTCTTTCGCTTCTTGCCTCTCGTCTCTATCATCTCCAAGGAAGCTCTCTCTCCGACGAAGCTCTATAGGTTTCTCCACTTCGAATTTTTGTTTTAGATCTAAGGTTTATTTTTACAGATTTATAGTCTATTGTTTCAAATCTTGAGTATATTGTTATTGATTTTAACATATCTCTCTCTCTCACTGTATGTGCGTGTGTGCATCTGGGTGTGTGTGTGAATCCGTGTGTGTGTGTGTTAATGTTAACTAGACTAGATTGAATATACCAGTCAAAATAGATTGAATATAGAGAAATAAATACCCTATTACCCAGTTTAGGTAGGTTGAAATGAATGAAAAATCTATAGTGATGATATCATATCATATCCAAATAAAACAGTTGAGATAAATTATGATACAATGATGCCAAATTGCGACTCAATAAAGGCTTACAACTTTTGGTACAACCCTAAAAAATTAGAGATCAATTCCAAAAATTTTTGAAGCACTCTTAATCATATTTATATCGTGAAAAATTTGAGTCGAACTTAACTTGGTTAGATCAAAGTCAGCAAACTGAAGCCTAATCCAAGTCCCTGCCCAAGTGAGGATTAGTGTTAACTAGCTTCAAGCCTTTGTGAATTGAATTATGAATTATGCTTATGAATTTCAATTAAATTATGAATTATGAATTGATTTATAAATTATGCTTTATGTAACTAGTTGTAATTTGAGAGGGTGGGCATCTAAAAATGAGGCCAACCAACTATTTTAAAACAAGGAATTTGGCCTGAGTGACCTAAGACTTGAATTTTCAATCCATACAAGCATTTCTGCTACATTTCGTATGTTTATCTCTTTGTGATGCTTATTGCCTAATATGCCTCTTTAGTAACAGGGGAATGCAAGTGTTGCACCACATGATGGCTCAACAATCCATACTAGTGCAGATGGCTCAACCAGAGTCAAGGCCACAAATGCTAAATGAAATTAATGGCAGTCATGTTTGGAGGATGCAGTCATCTATGGGGTAGCCTATTATGTCTAATGGAGGTGGGTGCAAGTGGAGATTTGGCACGAAATGGAATGACCAACAATGCTAGTGGCAATCCATAACATTAGAAATTGATTTCTATTTGCATACTAGACAAATTGATTTATATTTTTATTATGAAAATAAAAATTATTTATTTTTTTGTAAACATGAAAATGAAAACGTTATTAAACACAATCTTAATTAAATTAAATAATAATATTTAATTTATTTAAAATTTATATTAATTCATATATATATTTGATCCATTAATTTATAAATGGATTGAACGGATAGCATTTTTTAGGTGAGTAAACAACTTCGAGCATTAATAAAAAAAAACTTCGAGTTGCCTGACCAAAAAAAAAAACTTCAAGTTGAGGGAGAGGGAGAGGGAGAGGGAGAGAGAGAGAGAGAGAGAGAATTGGGTCCAAGTTCAAACTTACACTTGGCCAAAATAGACAGTTGTGTTATTGTGTATATCAACAAAAAAGTGTAAGGGGCATATGCGTCTTTTAATAAGAAGTTAAGGTACCTTTTGGTAAAAGAACTCTCTGTCTCTCTCCAAATGCGGCAATCTTTTCGACACATCATGGCAGAGGGGACGGTACAGACAAAAATTATCTAGTGTACCGCCACCCCATGGTTATCAGATTTCACAAAAATAAATCCAACGTGTAATCAATCACGTCATAGGTTATTTGAATGGACCCACGGCATATGACTCTTTTTTAAACTCAAACATAGAGGAAGAGAGGACTGAAAAAGCGGGAACAGACTACACCATAAGCCTATAACTACCTCCGTCACCGCCAATGCTCTTTTCGTTCATTGCAAACCCCTCTTTCGCTTCCGTCAACCGTCGTGTCTCGTCGCCGTTGAATTATGTATTCGCCGTGGTTACTAGTTGCACGGCGTGATTCTAGGGCCCTCAGATCCGCTTGTTTCTGTCGTTATATATAGGCTGGAAGGAAGGATCAAGTTCTAGAGAGAGAGAGAGAGGCAGAACTGTGGTAATGAAAATTTGTGTGAGGAAAACAGATATTAGACAACGCAAATTACGCACACACTCTCTTACAATCACACAAACACACGCAGAGAGGAGGGAGAGAGAGAGAGAGGACCGTTGCAGAGATCGAAGGGTTTTCTATTTGTGTCCGAACGGACCGAACCAAAGAAACTAATCCGTCTTCAAAACTTCTCCGTTTCTTCGGATAAATTGTGAATTTCTGGCACATTTTCTTACTACCGAGATCTTCAAAACCTAGAATCACAGGTTTATCTCGCTTTTGATCAGTCGGTGAACATTGAATGTTCTCTTTTGCTTGAATAACATCTGAAAGTTAATAGGGCTGTAGAGGTTATGATCTTCTTTACGAACGACTAAATTACAGATCGAAGTAGAGTTTCTGGTTATACTTTTGGCCTTCAAGCGGAATTTAACGTGATCATACATACTCTGGCGTTTCATCTGGTTGTGTTAAGAGAAAAGGTATTAATACTTGCTCTGTTTGCTTCGATATATACGATTTTAGGAGGTCAAGCGTGATGGAGCAGAAACAATTTTTGGTGTCGGCTTTGAGTGTGGGGATAGGCGTCGGAGTGGGGATTGGATTGGCTTCAGGACCGACGGTAAGCAAATGGACTGGTGCCGATTCCTCCACAAACGGTATTACGCCTCAGGCAATGGAGCAAGAGATGCTCAATCTCATCGTTGATTGCAGAGATAGCAAGGTCACTTTTGATGAATTTCCGTACTATCTCAGGTAATGAAATTTTTATTTTTAAACTCCTTTCCACTTTTTTTATTTTGTTCTATCTATTATTCAATGTGTTTTTTTTTTTTGAGTTTATTGATTATTAAATGCGCATTTGAGCATTACAAGATTTCGTGAATATGAGTGTGTTTTTTCGACAAATATTAGCGCTTACTTTTGTTTATTTTATAGTGTTATTAATTTGATTTTCAGTGACCGTGGATGCAGAGCATTCTATAATATTACGTTATCTGGATATTTTGTGGGCTAGCTTATTTAAGCCTTGGAATTATTTGGGATGGTGATTCTGGCTATCGTGTGTTCCTGTTCTTTCTTTTTAATACGACTGGGAATTCTCCAGTGAGAAAGATTCTTTATTGTCCTCTTCATTAATTTAGAGAAGATTCTTTCACTTTCCTAATTAAGTAATATTGTTAAGTTGTAGTGTGAATGTGGAAAGAGGGCACTATTTGTTTTTGTAGAACGTCATTTTGTTAGGAGCAATTTTATACTTCGTAAATGTCTTTACCAAATATTCATTTTAAATGATATGACACATTTATAATCATCATATGTGGGTTTTATTAATTTTTATTGATGCTGATAACGCCACATCATATTGGATGTTGTATACCAACTGTTAAACTGTGTATAGATACCAAGGTCTGATCACTTCATATAGGTAGTGTGTGACTACCAATTGTTGACAACATGGTTTAAGACTTAAGCAAAGCAACTGAAACTCCTAGATGATATATGAGCAAAGATCAAAATATTGTTTGACACCGAAACGTTTCTATTTTTAAGGAGACTGGAACAAAACAGTAATAAAATCGAAATTATGATATTTCGAAGTATTCCATAATGTATTTAAATATATTATAATATTTCAATGCATTTGCACAATTGTCTTAGTATGTTTTAAGGTATTTGAAGATATTTTGATATATTTTCATCAATGTTTTAGAAAAATAATTCTTAAATTTTTTATTTTTTTCATTATATTTCGAAACAGGTCGAAACATTTCCGAAACACGTCGAAACGTTTTCGTTTCGTAAGTGACTGAAACAATACATTGACACGATATTTTGATCCTTGCATATAAGTGCCTTGTGTGGCTAATCATTTCATTCGGCGCAAGTCAAATTTTTGAAGTATGAGACATGTATACTGGTGTAGACTAGTGACTCCTTAAGTATATAATTATGTATATATATTTTTTCGTAACAAGGAACTTCTCCAAGGCAAACCCTATATTGGCCTACTTGGCGTGGCAATATTTAACGAAAAATGTTATGGTCCTCCTTTATTTACCTGAAGTTTCCTAACCCAGTTTTGACTTATTAGTTTTAGATTGTAGGCGACCTTAAGCGTTATCATAGATGTTAGAATCTGGGCAATAGCTGACACGGGATGATTATTTTATTGTAGTCTGCATTACATATATGAAACCGGAAAGAATCTTAGATGAATTAGTGTGAAATTGCACATTAATTGGCGCAACTAAGCTATTTCAACCTGTTAGGAGTATTTTGTTTGAGCCCTCCAAAGTATCATGTTCACCGGCTGCATAATGGAGAGAGGAGATATTTAGTTTATAAAGTTGATGACTCGTTATGCCGTTACGCCACCTCCGCCAGATTATTCAATGAATGAATGTATTGTTGATAAAGAGGACAGCGGACGGGGCTTCCTGATCAAAACCTTCGATCTGAGGGACTTAGATCAGAAAATGCCTTCTAAACCACCTAGTTATGAATAATAAAACTCAATAGTGAAAGAGGGGTATCTTTTTCTTTAACAAGCTGAGCAGGACCAATTTCTCATACTTGCTCAGTGTGCCCCCATTATGTTCATTACCCCTATAAAAGAGACTATTTAGACTTAGATATACATACTAAATATAGTAGTTACAACTAAATGTTGGTGGTTTAGTAATGGATGCACTACATATGTTCTTTTGTGTATCAGCTGCCTACTTAATCCAAGGTAGCAGGGCTATTGACGGGATAGAAGGAGTTAATTTATTTGTTGCAATCTCATGTGGAGGTAACATCGGGTCATGCATTATTGATGGCATAACGGCCAAGGTGGCTGGTGTTTGATGTTTTACCCATGGATGTGTCATCTGTGATAAAATGTTGATTTTGAAACTAAGATCTTCTGCAGTTGAAATTGTTTTTCTCATATTATCACTTCAATGCTGATGTCATTTCTGGTTTATTCCAACACCAGCGAACAGACAAGGGTCTTGCTGACCAGTGCTGCCTTTGTTCATTTGAAGAGAGCTGATTTTTCTAAGCATACGCGGAACCTTTCTCCTGCAAGTCGAACTATTTTGCTCTCAGGACCTGCGGGTTGGTTATTTGAAAGATGATGTTTCTTTGACATCCCAGAATTTATCTACGACTATATTTTTACATTAGCTGCATTTACTCTTTCACGTATATTAAGTGCTCCGTTTTTTGGATTTTGAAGAACTTCACCAGCAAATGCTTGCGAAGGCTTTAGCTCATTACTTTGAAGCCAAGTTGCTTTTGTTAGATGTAACTGACTTCTCGCTAAAGGTCAGTTCGTCATCTCGCAGTCTGTTCTGGTTTGTACTTGTGCTAAGCTTTCTGGTGTTGGTTTTTTTGACAGATCCAGAGCAAATATGGAGGTATCAATAAAGAATCTGTAAGTTTTGACAAATTTTTTTGCACTGCGTGTATTCTGGAGTGGAATAGACTCTTCTGCTAAGTTTTTCATTGTAGCAAATGCATTGTCTATAACACAGAAAGCCATTGGCGAGATGAGTCAAGACATGATTTTGACATATTTATTTGCACTGCGTGTATTCTGGAGTGGAATAGACTCTTCTGCTAACTTTTTCATTGTAGCAAATGCATTGTCTATAACACAGAAAGCCATTGGCGAGATGAGTCAAGACATGAACTTTGTGATGTTTATTCCTTTGCTAACATGGTTTGTTGCAGTCTTTTAAAAGGTCTATTTCGGAAACAACATTGGAACGGATGTCTAATTTATTTGGATCATTTTCAATACTACCACCAAGGAATGAAACCAAAGGTATGATAGATGATCATTTGTCCCCTTTTTTTCCTAGTAGAGTAGATTCATTTTTATGGTCTAAGAACAGCTAATTAATCTCCAATACATGGCTATTAGATGTGGAGATGCCTTTTGTGTTTGCTTCATCCCATTTTATCTGTATCTGCAATCTCATCACGCCATCCTTTTCCTTGCCTCAACAATTTATTGCAATAGTACAATTAACCTCTTCCTACTCTGTTCTTTTTTCCTAACGGGGAAGGGGATGATGTGGGAGTTTTAGCCACAGCCACTCATTCTAATCTATACCCCATTACGCTCTTACCCTTAACCCTAATAATGGTGGTGAGATTTATAATCCCCACCCTTTGGGACTTGTGAATTGGGGACCCATCAATAATTTTGTAAGAGGTTTGGATGTTGTGGGTTTTCCAGAAACAGCCTGCTATTAGAACTCCTATAATGTACTGGATCTTGTTTCATTTTGCCTTTAATTCTGTTCCATACTGAGAGAATCTTCAGTCAACTGTTAAATTCATTGCTTTCAAGGTGGTTGATTTTTTTATAACCTTGTTTTGTTTTGGAAAATTATTTTTTAGCAAGTTAGATGTTTCACTTGAACTAATTTAATGAAACTGCAAATGCCTTGTCCCTTTTAGTGGGGGTTGGTTACGTGAAAAGGAATTCTTTTTTCCATTCTATTGAGTCAAGGGTTGTATGTTTTCTTGAACTAAGAGAAAGCATACCCTTTGCTATATGCTTATTCTCCATCTGTATAGGTTTAGGATATTAATTTCTGATATCTGAGAATGATTAACTTGTAACTCCATATTTAAGTACGACATGCAATATTTTTTTTACGCATCCTTTTTGGCTCGCAGCAACATTTAATCCGATATTTGTGCAGGGATGTAGGACTGAAATCTATAGCCACTACAAATTCTGATACTCATTAATAGCATTGTTATTATATGCGTGTATTGTGTTGTATATATATTAAAAGCAGTTGTTGTGCTTGTACTTCCCTTCTGCAAGCAGATTAAAATTTGATGCAGGGTAGGATGTAGGAGTTTAAATTTTGTCCAGAATAGGAATTGTGTGGTATTATTGACGTTGAATTTTCCTAGTATCCATGCGGGGTAGTTTCATATGCATTTTGTTAGACATTTTATACATGAACTATAATTTCGTTGGGATAGTTCTTTTCCATATGCAATCTGTAGCTCTGTTCTGTTGCAGGCACGTTACGCAGACAGAGCAGTGGTGTGGATATTGGATCAAGGTATAGTGTGGTATATGGCTCCTGATTAGAAATGTAACCAAATGGGTCAGTCAGCTGTCTGCTTGCTTCGTGTTTCTTCTAATTCCATCTACTGCTTTTTTCTTCCTTGCAGAGCAGACGGTTCTTTTAATCCTCCAAAGCTTCGTAGGAATGCATCTGCCTCGGCTAATCTAAGTTGTCTTGCTTCGCAATGCACTCCTGCAAATACAGGTTTTGACAGAGTACTTGTATCTTGCAAGAGCATAAGATCGATTTAATTTACCTTAAAAACATGAGCAGGAATTATATATTTTTTAATTTTCAAAGTTGTTGGCACTGCAACAACCAATCTAATGTATCTTTTTTGCAGTATATTGTAATTACAGAATTTCTCTCTAAGGCAAGTGGGTGAGAGGGAAGTTAGAAAGTAGTACAAAACACTTTAATTGGTTCATTTATGCTGTCCTTTACTATAATCCTAATGACTGTTAAGAATAATAGATTGGCCTTCTCATTGGTTGGTGATATATCTAATAAGATAATGTGTATGTGATTCAGGGTGGATGAGATTTTCAATCAAATATTGTAAGTAGGAAAATCACTAGGCGATCAATTGATGTGAAGTGAAAGTATTTTTGAAAGCCATTTAGGTTGTCAATTACGGCCTAGACCTAGTGGACCTTAAAGCCAAACTAATGATATAATGAAGTAATACTTGCTTGGGGAAGAACTTTCTGGAAATCAAACTATTCCATTTGAAAAAGAAGGGATATGCACAGGAATGCTAGACTCAGCTTGACTTTCTTACTTCTAAGAGGATAAGTGGTTTTTTTTTAAAAAAAAAACCATTAAAAGGAGGAAGATAAATAGTCATACAAAAGAAGACCTGACGCAGGTGTATTTCTTCAGCCTGTTACTCTGGGCAACTGGCTCTGAGCTGTTTTATTACTTCTCTTTCCCTCCATCCTTTCTTTGAATTGAAGAATTCGTAACTGGCCCACGCAAATTTGGTTATCTTGTTTGGAAAAAAAAAAGACGTGTCTTAGACATATTGTACCTTATAGGTTAATGATGAACCCTTGGTGATTGTATGGTGCATTGGTGCTGCATGTTGGTGATAATATGCTTAAGATTTTCAAACATGAACAGCTAAGCTGTCATTCCTTTTTTATTCTTATGAGTATGCTGCTTCTTTCCAGCTCCTCTTATGCGTACCAGCAGCTGGTCTTTCGATGATAAGATTCTTCTACAGACACTGTACAAGGTATCATCTCTTTTTATTTTGTATTTGATATTTGATGTAGCTTTAGCAATTTGTGTTTTGCTAGATGTATTTTGTGATGGCTTTACTTCAAACAGATATGTGGCCAATCGTGTAAGTTCTATACCTTCTAGTAGATATTCATGGCATAACAACTTTGATTTCACTTGCAGGTTATTGTTTCAGTGTCGAAAACCAATCCTGTTGTTCTGTATCTTAGGGATGTTGATAGGCTCCTGTGTAGATCAAAAAGGATATATATCTTGTTTCAGAAAATGTTGAAGAAATTGTCTGGATCAGTGCTGATCCTCGGTTCAAGAATTGTAGACCTGGATAATGACTACATAGAATTAGATGAGAGGATTACCTCTATATTCCCTTATAACATTGAAATTAAACCACCCGAGGATGAAAATCATCTTGTTAGCTGGAAGTGTCAACTGGAGGAGGATATGAAGTTGATCCAATATCAGGATAACAGAAACCACATAATTGATGTACTTGCAGCTAATGATCTTGACTGCGATGATTTGGGTTCAATATGTGTGGCTGACACAATGGTTCTTAGTAACTATATAGAAGAAATTGTGGTGTCGGCAATCTCTTATCATTTGATGCATACTAAGGATCCTGAGTACAGAAATGGAAAACTTGTTATCTCATCTACAAGGTGAGATTACATATTATTGATGTTTCCTTACTATTCAAGCACTGTTGACTAAATGTCTTGGCCATGAAGCAGTTTGTCTCATAGATTAAGTATATTAGGTCAGATTACATATTATTAATGTTTTCCTTACTATTCAAGCATTGCTGATTAAATGCCTTGGCCATGAAACAGTTTGTCACATGGATTAAGTATATTCCAGAAATGTAAAACTGTTGGAAAGGATACCATACAGCTGGAAGCGCAAGCTGAAGGTTGCAAGGTTAGTTTCAATGAAGTTTATTATGTACCAAACTTACAGTATTGGAACATGCATCTCCTTATGGTTTTCAACATTGTTTTCAGGATGCACTGGGTGGAGGGGCTGTTGGTAGTAAACCAGATACAAAAGTTGAAAGCGCTGCCCCTGAAAAGAGAAGTGAAGCAGAAGCAACAGCTCCAGCAAGGAAGGATGGTGATAGTGCAACCACAGCGTCTAAAGCTCCTGTAAGTCCAATATCCTAGATGTAGTTCCTTGGATTAGTTTATTCTGCCTCATTCATTCGCTGCTTCTTAGGCACCATCAGAGGCTACTAACTACCGTACTATCTTAATTATTCCACAAACATGGCCTTCCTTTTGATATGACTCTGTACACTATCAAATGTTCCAATGAAGCATCCTGTTATCAGTAAAAACATACAAATTCTCACTTTTCAGGAATGTAACTTCCCAAGTTTATGTGATGCTACCTGACAGTAGAATATTTCTGGACAAAATTGTAGCAGTTCTGGGAGAGAAGTGCATGCATAAGCACTGCACGTGAGATATTATTAAAACAAATTCAACACTGGTGCTCACTAATCACTTGGACATTTGGGTTGGTCTTACTTGAATAGGAAAGTACTTGAACTGGCAGTATGTTCGTACAGGCATTTTCTTTGCAGTATTGATATGTGTCAACTTTATTCTCAAACAAAACTGAAGACTGAGTCATGAATATTTTATATAGGTCATCTGTTACTGCAGTATTTATTTCTTCCTGATCCATGTGATTCCAAGTAAAGTATTGCTTTTTATTTCCTATATCAGGAAGTTCCTCCGGATAACGAGTTTGAGAAGCGCATAAGGCCAGAAGTCATACCTGCAAGTGAGATAGGCGTGACATTCGCTGATATTGGTGCCTTGGAGGAGATAAAAGAGTCTCTTCAGGAGCTAGTAATGCTACCTCTTCGAAGACCAGATCTGTTCTCAGGCGGCATTTTGAAGCCGTGCAGAGGAATATTGTTATTTGGACCTCCTGGGACTGGGAAGACAATGATGGCCAAGGCCATAGCTAAGGAGTCGGGAGCAAGCTTCATTAATGTGTCAATGTCTACAATCACCTCTAAATGGTTTGGCGAAGATGAGAAGAATGTCCGAGCCTTATTCACCCTTGCAGCCAAGGTTTCCCCAACTATTATTTTTGTTGATGAGGTTGATAGCATGCTTGGGCAGCGGTCCAGAGCTGGGGAGCATGAAGCTATGCGGAAGATAAAGAATGAGTTCATGACTCATTGGGATGGACTTTTATCAAATCCGGGTGAAAGGATTCTTGTTCTTGCTGCAACCAATAGGCCATTTGACCTTGATGAAGCAATTATCAGACGTTTTGAGAGAAGGTACTGTTGCACATGGATACACCACGATACATATAGTTTTGGTTTTATTTATTCATAACCTTAGGTATGGATATGAATGAGATATTAACCGTTATAAGTCCTAGCAATATAAATTTCATGAACTTCTATAAAGGCATTATCACATGTTTCTCACCTGATATTTCATTAGATAAACGAGGTACTGAGGAAGGAGAAGTATTATAGATTCTATACTTTCCTGTAATCAACAGGATTATGGTCGGTCTACCATCTGTGGAGAACAGGGAGATGATTTTGAAAACTCTCTTGGCGAAGGAAAAAGTTGATGAAGGATTAGACTATAAAGAGCTTGCACCTATGACAGAAGGATATAGTGGAAGCGATCTGAAGGTTGTATGTTCTGATATTAGCTTTTGGTGTTTCAGTTTGATTATTGGTTGATTTTAAGAGTGACAGAATTGTTGAAAACAGAATTTGTGCACGACGGCTGCGTACAGACCAGTTAGGGAGTTGATACAGCAAGAAAGGCAAAAAGAATTGGTGTGTGCAATATCTTTACCATCATCTTTCAGATTATGTTTATACTTGTTTGTCTGCCAAATGCATTGCATTTTCGTGTGCTTGATAAATGGTTTCAACTCTGCAGGAGAAAAAGCAGAGAGCTGGGGAAGGGCGAAATACTGAAGACAAACCAGCTACAGACGAAGATAAAGAGAGGGTCATCACTATCAGGCCATTAAACATTGAAGACTTCAAGAAAGCAAAAAGTCAAGTAATCTCTCTCTCTCTCTGGAGAATCTTTTTTTTTTTTACAAGTATACTCATATAAGAACTGCTGCATTCTTTATTAAGAACGGAAAGATATGAAAAGAGAAACATTTATGCCAGGTCCGTTGATAGAATATGAATGCCACAAGAATATGGAATAAGTAACACAGCATATTCATTCTGAGAATTGGGAGGATAGTTTGTTTTTTTTTACTAATGCGCACAAACATTAACTGGAATGTGTTGCAGGTTGCGGCAAGCTTTGCAGCAGAGGGATCTATAATGACTGAGCTGAAACAGTGGAATGATTTGTATGGAGAAGGAGGTTCAAGGAAAAAGGAGCAGCAATTATCTTACTTCTTATAAGAGGGTAGTTGTCACAAAGGACTACACAAAAACAAACTTACCTTGAGAAAGACTTTGTTTACTAACGTTCCGCGTCTCTAAAAACTAGAACGGTTCTGTAAGATTGTTTTCTTGTAATATTAGCTGATGTTTGGTTTACTATACAGGTCGCCATCGTTAAGAGATTGGACTGAATACAATGGTTTGGGTCTCTCTCTCTCTCTCACACAATAAACGAGACCATAGGAGAGAGAGCCCGTCAAGGAAGCCGTGAATGACCCAGGGTCACAATCATGTTCTCTTCTGCAAATTCCAACCTCTTCTATAAATTTTCACATCTTGGTACGCAAACTACAGTGAAATTCTCGACATCTCGTTGCCCTTTTTCTTGAATTGTGGGTTTGGCCAATGGTATCGATCTATTGAAAGCTAAGGTAAGTTACGTCAAATAATGGTACATTTTTATTTGGTGGTATGGCCGGGTTGGTGCTCCACTGTTCTCCTAGCAGAATCAAGAAACTATAGTAAGCCCAATACTCAGCCCAACTAACCCATTTATCTGGTTAAATTTGTGGACCAATAAATTCAACAAAATTGGCCCTGATAAGCCCATAGATATAACCACATCTGGGGCTCTGAGCCCATTAATTTAATTACATTGGGCCCTATAGGGCCATTTCATTTAATCCCATCAATGTGGGCTTATTTTTGGGACATAAATTCAACCACATCAATGGCTAGTTGGGCTTACTATTGGGCCTAATGAGTTCATAAATACAACCATATTGGGCCAGTACAGCCCATTTGCTAAACATTGGGCTTCCTGGCCCATAAATAAACCACATCTGCAAGTTAATTGGGTTTTAATATTGGGCTTGAATCCAACAGCACACCATCAACTGCATTGGGCTTGCAGAACCCATAGACATGACCAGATCGGGGCCCACAAGACCATTAATTTAATTATTGGGCCCTATAAGCCCATTTCGTTTAACCCCATCAATGTTAAATTCAATCACATAGTGAGCTAATCAGGCTTACTATTGTGCCTAATGAGTCCATAAATACAACCACACTGGGCCTGACAAGCCCATTTGCTTAATATTGGGCTTCCTGGCCCATAAATTAAAACCACATCTTCTTGTTAGTTGGGCTTGAGTTCATCAGCACAGCACACCATCGGCAATCAATCAGCCGGAACAGTGGTAAAAAACCAATTCCTAAACTTTGTCCAGGAAAAAAAGAGAGACCCAATTCCTAGTAATCATCATTTTCGTCAATATTCTTATAGTAAGCGATCCAACCAAACCTTTTAACATTTTTAACCCAACCCAAAGCAGTTATCTATCAGCTGACAAGGGGCTCGAGTAAAAGTGTAAATTCACCTCAAGTAAAGATCTTCCCACACGCTCCGCAAACTCTTTAACATGCATGATGGGAAATGATATCTCACAACAAACTCCCATATAGGGATGGCCGAAAAAAACTCATATTCCTAGAGGATGCTCCTAAAAGTGTCATTTCTCTAATCTGCTCAATTGAATTCTCTATCAAAAGCATCAGATGAACGATGCCATCCATTTCACTGCAATAAAAGCGTTGTGAAACAAACCATCATAGAAATGGAATATATGATTGACATGCAGATCACATAATAACATCCATCCCCACATCTAATTACTGAAATTCATGAAAATAGCACCCATCACAAGTATAGAATTGTCCTTGTCCAATCTAGTTGTAAACCCAGAGACACTAGACAAATAAGATATATTATTCACTAATAGATATAAAAAGAAAACAGTTGATAAAACACAACTACCAAACCTCTCAAAACCAGGTAATGGCTAATACCTCCATCACTCTTAAGCCTTCTTCTTGTCTTTCAATGGACCCCTGGGGATCTTACTCAATACCTTTACATCAAAGACTGCATAATGTTTCTTGATCTCGACCATTGCCTTCTCTGCGAATGAGTCCACCTGGTCCTCATACTTCTCATACAGCACAGGCACCGAATGGAGCGAAACAAAAGCTGTTTACAGACCATGGAAACAAGGTTAGAAGCTAGGATACTAGAAGTAACTTACTACTCAAACAATCAGAATAATAACATTACCTATATAGAACAAGGTCAAGAAGTTGCAGCAACTGCCCACAATTGACAAGACCCACAAGACAGCAATCACCTGATTAAGAATATAGGACACATGTATCGAATGGTTATGCAGAATCCAGAAATAAAAGCCATCATCCCTAATCAGTCCAAATACAAATGAAAGTTTTAGAACAGAAAACCCATAGCTTGCATACAAAATTGTATAATGCAATTCTCCATTTACTTTCTTAAAATTATCCATATAAGTTGAAACTGAGAAACACCGAGCTTGTAAATTAGAAGGTGTAATGCAACTCATAAACTTGTTTCATTAAAGTTAATAATTCCTAGTGAGTAGGTGCAGGTTTAAAAAATTCATAAACAAATGTTATCATCAACTACAATAATAGCTGCTAATTTTGACTCTTAGAAGTGAAAGACATTAACATACAGAGAGGAACTTCTTCAAATCTCTTCCAGATGCAATGTCCCTCAGGAATGCAAAAGCCCGATTGATCTCGACCCTCAAAGCAGAGGCAAACTGCAGAACAGGCTCCTCTGGAATGTAAACTTCTGGAATACGTGGTGGAGACCTAAAAAACGAAAGGTACATGTAAGAGTTTGATCACTACCATAGATAGAAGGAGATGATTTGACAACAAAACAAATCGACTCACTTGTTGATGAAGGTGGAAGCATTTGACCACAAAAACAGTATAGCCAGAGCAAGTATCAAACCATGGCAGACTAGACTGAGCAAATGGTAACCAATCATTTCAAACAGAAGCCAGATGGCTGTGGCACCACCTAGAATTCCTGCCGATATCTTCTTGTCCCTCCATAAAAACAAATCAGCCGCTACACCAGTAGATCAAAATGAAAATTCGAGATGCAAAGTGATATTAGCAAAGTTTCTAGATAAAATGTACTTTCAGTGTAGAATTATCAGTGTCTCTTTTCTTATAGTTGTTGAGTTTCAACTTGTTGAAAAAGTTTAAACTAAACTCCATTAACCTTGAGGTAACATAACAGTAAACTTTCTCGGAACCAATCCCATCACCAACGTTAAACTCCATTAACCTTGAGGTAACATAAAAGTAAACTTTCTCGGAACCAATCCCATCACCAACGTTGATAACTGATAAAAACAACTTGCATATGAATATCCTAAAAAGACCAATTAACCAAGCAGATCTAGATCACGCAAAAACAAACAAAATTAAAAAGAAAAAAGCAACAGAAAAGCACGAAATATTACAATCAAGAATTGAAAAAAACTATGTTTCAAGTTCAAAAATATCATGTTAATTGCGAAATTGAATGGAGGTGAATCCACCAAAAGATGGCCAATAAATTTGAAGAAAATGGATGGAATCCACAAACGACCAATTTTCAACATAAATGAAACGCCAAACGCCAACTTCCAAGCTATGCACAGAGTTTTTGATAAAGAAAAATAGTTTCAAAAATTGACGAAAATGAACATGAAGATCGATGGACATACGTTTGCCACCGCCGAGGACCTTATGAACAGGTTTTTCTCTACCGAAAATCCGATAAACCTTTGATTTCAGCGACGATGACTTGTCGTCCTCGGAATCAGACGATGAAGACGACGAATCATGACCATGGATTTTCTCACTTATCTTCTCCATCACCGATTCAACCTTCGATTCCTCATGTTCCGCCATCTCTCTCTCTCTCTCTCTCAAATTCCTTCGATCTAAAACCCAAACCCTCCAATTCGAAACGTCCAGAAACCGATAGATATACAGACAGATAGGCTCTCTCTGATTGTGTGTGTGTGTTTTTTAACACTGTTTGCAGTATGTGAGAACTTTATTAGGGGCTATGCCTATCTATACAGGGGAGAGAATTGGAAGATTTAATCAGAACCGGCAAAATGGAAATTTACGGATCCAAGGTCTCATCAACCAAGGGTCATGATTCGGACACAATGTACTGTAGTACTGCCCGAAATTGAGAGATTCGAGGCTGGACGGACATTAAAGTTGACGGATTGAATTGAGAATGCAGATTAATATCTCCGTCAATAAGCCGTTAAGTCTGATAATACGTGCCACGTGGTTTCATTAAGTACCAAAAAAAACGGAATTGGTAGTGGACACGTGGAGCGTTACAGTTATCTGAAACATTTTTTATTTAGCCATCACTTATCACAACTATGTGATATGATATGATTAAAAATGAACACTTTTATTTTATACTAAATGGTTTTACTATTTTTATTTTTAGTTACATTGCAATGCTTGGCGATTAAGAAAAGAAAAAATTACATTAAGATCTCTTAAAGTTTGTCACTTAATCACTCAAACCTTCTACCATTAAAATATTACATTCAAATCCCTTGAATTTGTAAGCACGTAACACTTAACACTTAAGCTCATGTTATAAATATATCCGTTAATAAATAACACTTAAATCCTCTAAAATTTGTGAGTATATAATATTTAGACCTTTTAAGTTTAAAATATTATATTTAAATCAAAAATACTTCAATCAAACATAAAATATAAAATATTTTAAATTTTACAGTCAAAATTCATATTTTATTATATCATTTATTGAAATAAAATTTTAATTTTTTTAAAAAAAAATCATAATTAATATACAATTATATTATCTATTAGAATACAACTAAAAAAATCAAACAAATGGGTCTAAGTCACTCATAATACACTATCTATCAAAACAAAACTTAAAAATTAAACAAGGAATCAAACTATAATTGACACAATATCTTTTAAATTTAATTGGGATAGTTTGGTATTTTAATTTGATTGTTTACACGACTAAATTAAATTCTAATAGACAATATAATTGTATACTAATTACAATTTTTTAAGAAAAAAATAAATTTTTATTTGTAATTTTATTTCAATAAATAATACAATAAAACATAAATTTTAGTTGTAAAATTTAAAATATTTGATATTCTATATTTAATTAAAGTATTTTTGGTCTAAGTATAATATTTTAAACTTAAAGGATCTAAGTATTACATACTCGCAAACTTTTAAGGGGTAAATATAATTTATTAACGGATATATTTACACCAAAGGTGTAAGTTTTATACATGTACAAATCTCAGGGATTCGGTGTGTAATATTTTAAATGTCAAAAAATTTAAGTGATTAAGTGACAAATCTCAAGAGATCTTGTATAATTCTCTTTTAAGAATAAGCAAAATATCGTTATTGCGCCGCTTAGCAATTAAGAAAAAGTAAAAAGTCATTATATTAAAAAATAACTTTGAGCTGTAAATTTTATTTTATTTTTATAATTATTAATAATGAAAAAAATATTATAATACAATAGAACATAATAATCTTCATATATGATAACTTTTTATGGGACAAAAAAAATAAATATGATATTAAATTCATTTAGAATTGACTTTTTCGGGTATAGAATAGAAGTTTGAAAAATAAAATAAATAAGTCAAAATTAAAAAAAATTGGAACCGTTTGGAATGTTTTCTAATAACCGGTTTTTCTTGGAATCCCTTAGATAAGCTCCATCTTTAAATTTTTTCCTTGGTACTGATAAACTATTTTTGTTCAAAAAGTTAATAAAAAGTTGTCCAATAAGTCCAAATCTAAACATATCAAACTTCTTTTCCTCTGAAACGACAAAAAAAAAAAAAAAAACTAAAACTGAGCTTTTAAGCCAGCTCACCCATTCAAAATTAAATTCAGTATTTCATGACAATATATTGTCAAAGTGTTAGCAATCTGGGCTTGAATTATTTTTCCCCTTATCTTTCTTATACATTGAAGGGAAAAGAAAAGAAAAGAAAAGAAAATGGAGATGAAGTGGTAGATTAAATAAACAAGGGAAAAATAGAGATTCAACGTCAAGCTTAACTACAAAGAAAATGGAGATTTCGAGGTTGTATATATACATGGCCTACAAACATGAGGCCAATTATCAATCAGTCCAGATTGATAGAAACTATGGCAGTGGGGTGGGTGAGAGGGAAGGGAAGGGGATAATGAATGATGTATGAAAGGATGGGCACAAGAATACATGCCATCATATGCCGACAAAACGTGGGAGCACATATAATAATACGATGGAACTCAGATTTCCTCCAATACCCCCTTTTTTTTTTATTTAATTTTTTTCTTGACAGATCATATATACGAGGGCTCACTTATAAACAATTAGTCTTTACTTAAATGCACAACAGATGATCCAGGAAGAAAATTGAACAGAACATATATCAGATGAGTACACCACAATAGTTTAAGCAACAGAAATGCACCTTCCAAAAACCATGGATTGTATTATAATGGCCCATGGGGGAGGGGGAGGGGGAGGGGGAGGACTACAATATTGAAGGAAGAATCCGTATCCAGAGCATGAAGTATAATATATGGATTAGTAATAAATCATTGGGTGACGTTATGACTTAAAAAACTTCATAGAACCCCACACGGTTAAGTTTCAACCAAAAAAATACTAATTTGTCGACACTTCATCACGTTGAATTGTAAATTTACTTTTACTAGATTAACAAAAAAGTAAGTTTTAAGCAACTAGTCTTATCCCGGACGGAGAAGACAACATCTTTACAAGCTCATCCAAATTATAACCAACAAAAGGGGAAGTGAAGACAACAACTAAACTATAAAGCATTAGTCCTCCGACCTAAAATACAAGATTAGGCATCATTTCTGACCTGAACTTTCAAAGCATAGTTTGCATGGCCTAATTTGTGTTCCTAAGGGAGAGAAGTAGTTATTAAAATGATTGCTAACCAGAATGTACAACATAAAGTACGGGTAGATTCAGAGGAATGAGAAGAAGGGAGGATTGAAGAAGAATGCACCATGACAACCCCCAAAACACCCTATACAATTATCATACTCCAGCATAGCAAACAAAACGAGATCTGAAAAACAAATCTATTTGACTATTTGTAGAACTGTGCCTAGCACTATGCTTTGGCATTGTTTTACACCAAAAGTTTCTAGAATTTAGAGTCCGCTAAATATATGGGAGAACGGAGAGATCAGTAAACTCTGAATGTGCAATTAAATTGCCAATTCAACCTTGTCGCAATGTAAAACCAATCTAGATATGGCAATGGGAATAGAAACTTTATGGGAGAGGGAAACTTAAAGGTTGAAAAAGGAAGTATGAAACTTCAGGAGCCTTCAAGCAAACGTATCCTTACAATGCTTGTATATGGTAGGACATAGGGATCGAGTCCTTCCATCATTTGTTGATAAAGAAGGAAAGTGAAAGTGAAAGAACTTACCAATTAAAATGAGAACAAAAAAGCTAACTGTTAAGGAAAAAAAAGGACCAAAAAATGTAGAGTTTGGAGGAACAAAATATGAACACAAATGACAAAGATATGACACTAGACTATTCAAGTGGTGGTAGCAGCCATAAAACACTGAAATTTGTCATCTAGCAGTGCATCACTAAAAATTAACTCCCACGGCCGTGGAGTAGGATCATACTACTTAAGTCAGCTTCGCAAAGAGAAATATACACACAGAAAACTTGAAATAGCATCACCTAATGTCAACGTGAGACCACTCTAATCCATTGATTGAAAACTACGCAAGTGAATAATTGGGAGTTGGGACCTCTTGCATGGGTACCACAAGTGAATACGATCAACTACATTGTTTGAAATTGAGCTTCTTTCCAATCAATATTGTGGTTTCCATTTGTGGAGTTGTTTGTGCCTACATTTCCATAGTAAGATTCCTTAAGAAGATTTAGAGGAGAATACATCCCAAGACTTCTTTTATCAAATGACTCTTGTCCCCCCTTTATTTTTGCTGTGATGATTTGGAAGGCAAAAGTGTCTGTTAAGGTTCAAGTTTTTGCATGGACTGTTGCACTTGGGAAGATTAATACTAATGAATTGCTTTAGAAAATGAGGCATAATACTTGCCTTTCTCCTCAGTGGCGTCTGATGTGTAAAGATTATTATGAAAGTATTGACCCTTTATTTCTACATTGCCTTCTTACTTTGTCTTTGTGGTACAAGTTGCATAACTTGGTGGATTTGAAATGGGTTCCTCCATATCATCCAATTCTTTGTTTGTGGAAAACTTGAAAAGACTTGGGTCTCTTGATAAGAGTGTCACTCTTTGGAATTATGCGATCATGACAACTTTTTGGGTTATATGAAAAAAGAGGAATGCAAGAATCTTTGAAGATCGGTATGAGTGTTTGGATGGATAATTGGATCGGATTTATTTTATTTCGTCATTTTGGGTTTCAATTTCTAAAGATTTCAAAGGAATCCTACTCATTGCTATTTTATCGCGATGCAAAGCCTCATGTGATCTATAGACTTTTTATATTTTTGCCTCTCATTGTATTTTTGCTTTTTTGTGGTTGGATATCTTATCTAACCACCTTTCATGTTATTACGCTTTTATTTTAATACAATATGTTCTGTTTTCTATAAAAAAAAAAAAAAAACTCTCCACAACACAACTAAGGATAAATCAGTTGTGCCATAGTTAAGAACTGGCTCCCAAGTTGTGAGAGTGACTCTTTAGGACAACCATAGCAGTCGCTTTTGCGAGTGTTTTCTATTAAGGTGTTGACAATGGTTTATCTTTATACAGAATTTAGCATTGAACATATAAATTTGTTGATTTTGAAAAAAATAATAATAACAAAACCCTTTCCTTGGGATTGAAGAGATTGGCAAGAATTGGTATTAGGGCTTCTGTTCTTACAACTTTCCCCCGTTGCATACTCAGTTTAGAAGAGTGTTAGCAAATGGCATGTAAATTATTTAGAAAATGCATTATCTAACTATACAATTAAGGAGGCACAGGTGTATCAAGTAGGGTTAAATGAAGGCATTATACCAAGCAAAAGTTGACGTAATTCAATCAACTTTTGTAAAGCAAATTGATTACCATTCCAAGAAACAACATAATCGAATTGCTCAACAACAATAACGAGACTTAGAACCCCCAAATTCAAGTCTCTT